GAAAACCACCTGCTTCGGTTTGGGCACTCGGTCAGTATCACAGCACTCACACATATCAAATGAGATCTGTGTGGCGCATATGTATTTGGTGCCTCCTTGTGCCAATATCTATGTGTTAAAATAAATAAATTTTAAAAAAATAATCATCACATTGAATCAGGACGGAAGTAATACTGAACAAAACTCATAATGAGTAAATCAATTGAATTTCGACTTTTCTTTCCATCTTATCAAGAATGAAGAATGATGAAACTGGTTCGAAGTTGGTCATAACCACACAAAGCGTTTATCTATGATTTTTTTTCTCTAATCAGTGAATCGCATTGTTCTGTTCCCGTATTCTCTGTTAATTTCATCCAAAAAAATCTTTTTTTATTTCTACTCTCAATTGTATTTTCTTTTAAAACCGTTAACTAGTGTACACCATTAAATGTTTATTAATTTTATTTCTGTTTATTTGAGCTTTTTTTATCCTCAGTAAGTTTAAAAGTTGTACACAGACAGATGATTGACATGTATCAAAATATAAACTAATTACTTCAGTTCGTCAGATATCAACAACATGTGATCAATCACTGTGTAGTGGCCAATGTTGTATTTGTCTTTCCCTTTTGTGCTGATCAAATTCTGTCTATCTGGTTTCTGATGAGCTTCAAGTAGCACGAACTCTAGGTTCAGTATTTCCTGTCGAATATCTTTAACCAACTAACACCAAAACATTGTGCACGTGAAATCGAGTCACATGGTAACTTGATTAATAAAATTCGATCAGCACTAAAGAACTAGAACTATGTTCAGGGTTTTCTATCGACTGCCTCTAGCCATTTAACATCACATTTAATCACCTTTCACGAATATGCATTGGTTCAAATTCCTTTGACCGTACATCAGTAGTATGAGATAGGAAATTAATAAGATATATGACAAAGAAGCCAACATTAGTAACAATGATATTAAAATTTATATGCGTGTTTTTCAATAAGCGATAAACCAGATGATAAGGTTTTGAATCTTTACCGACCATAAGACAACCTGTCTATGTTCTTAGCTAAAGTTTTGCGTGAAAGTTGAAGGTATTTGTACTAAGACTAGTCATTAATTTTTCTAAAACATATTCCGAATCACAGACTTTCTCATCTAGATGAAGTACACATTACAAACAAAATAAATGGTTAGAAGAGATCATTAAATTCTGTAACTCAAAATTAATTACACTGATCCAAACTACTGACACATTTCTTCTCTTTATGCTCCTATCGGTCTTGTATATCATTTTGTTATTACTATTAATATCATCTGTTTTATATTTTTCTTGTATGCTATAGAGGTGGATTGTATAAATAAACGAGATTTCTAATTGTTAAAATAAGTAAAACTCTATGCTTTGATAAACAGATGTACACAATGATATGTCTTAACCGAGTAGTGATGGCTACTCACATGACACAATTATTGAGTCGAATGGCCGAAGAAACAAATGAATACTACTGGTAGTTAGAAGAATAGAATATTTGGTCACATAAAATAAACATCGTTAAAATTCATTAAATGATTGGAGGATATTACTTTTAATGGTTACTCACTCTCCAGTAAATTAAGATCCGACCGTTAAACTGGATTTAAACCTACCATATAACTGTACCCATTTGTTCTTGCTTTTTGGGTTATTGTGTAAGAGGACATTGCGGATACCAACGTTGTCAGACGCCACATATCCGAAAAGAAATCCAACGATTATAAAACAATGAACTAGTTATTTGTATAGTCTACAAATCATTTTTACAATTTACGCATGCACCTATTGTAGGCTATTAATTAAATTATTGACTGATTTAAGGGTAAGTTAAGAGAGCTAGGCTGAAGCATGGCATCATGTCATAAAGTCATAGACTGTTGGTTTTAGTCATGCTGATATATCAGTGTACTTAGTTCAGAGGGTGGTACTGTCCACGCAGTAGTCGCGATCAGTGGTTGAAGATCTCGGGTTGAATGGCTCAAAATCTTTGGCAATAATACAGATGGATTTATCCAGTGTATTCCTCAAGACATTGGGTTTTTATATTGTTTTATACATTTTTTTATTTAACCAGTTCATTCCATTTTTCGGTTCATATTCTCTACGTCTAGTCTTTTTTTCTTAACGACTATTTCAACTTATTTTCTATTCATTTGGTTAATTTCAAACTGGCTATGCTAATTTGATTTGGCGACATAGACTGATCCCCACATGTATCTATCTCAACTCTTACTCACTGTGGTTATGACTACTGTCCGACTAATATTCACTTGGGAATTTCAACAACCATGGCCATGAAATTTACAAATGATCAGTAACCATTTAATCAAGTGAGGGTCGATGATTTCCTAATAAATATTGTCTTCTGTTTTATATTGTTCCGGTGTGTGGGTTCCCAAATTCATCACTGTAATAAAATCCTGATAATACCAAAAATAGAAAAAGATACACAATCTAAAGAAAATTCGTTTTTTTTCTCTGTGTATTGTCACAGTTTCAAGCTTTAAAGACAGTTGTAATATTACATGGGGGGAACATCTGTATCATGTCAAAGACTAATGTTACGTTTATTTTGTTGTTTATGTTTCCTATCTTCACGACACTAATTATATATATATATGTATATATATCATCCATTCTGATTGATATAGTTTTGTTTTATAGTCTATATTGGATTTGATATTATCCGTATCATGTGGTAATGATTATTATGTATGAAACCAAAAGAACTTGACATCATCACAGCACATGTATGTTTAATTACATAGCATTGACTAAATAATCGGTTATCTGACTGTCTAGCCATTCGTACTACCAATACACGCGTAAATGCCAATATACACTACTTTCCTTCGTCATGAGTATCAATCACCAACGTTAAAATGGCCTAGTTTAAACAATTTGGAAACTCGATTTCAGCTAGATTTATTTTTAGCCTAGATTATTATATTAGTCTAGTAGTGGTATGATTTCAATCACCATTTTCTAAAGTATGCTTGTTAACCGTTTTGTTTGCCTGTTATTTTCTATTTGCATGAGATATACGTTTTTACAGATTACATTTTTACACTGATTTTAGGACTCCACGCCTACGCAATGTAGATATGTACACACGTAGACAAATTAACGCATATTTGTATTCGTATACTATTCTTACTACATTTTTATCCAATGTTTGTTAGCTTGTTTTCTATCTAGGTAAGCATAACAGTCATGACTATGTCAGTGAAAAAAGCATGATTGACCTTGAGACAGGTTTCATTTGCTACGCGAACCATTCTAAAGCTACAATGTGATCGTATTACACCCACGCTATTTCACTGGAAAACAGATAATTCATTTTAGTCTGTAGAAGTCATTATTTCTTACCATTGATTTCATCTAAAAAGTACTAGATAAAATAGTGATGATCAAGGTATGAAAATAGTTAAGGGACTTATTCAGCATGACTCGGTTACTGTATCAGACCCTTGTATATATTAAAACACGAAGTTCAGGCAAGACATCTTTCAGTGAACTGGTTATTATGCTTTACAATCATATATATATACCGTAGCGACCTATGCATAAGCATGATGATTTGACAAAAAGGTTATAATACTAGATAATGTAGTGTAAATAATAAAATAAATGCTTGTGTGTGTGCAAATAAAAATTCATATGAAATTATGGATATGAAAAATTATATCAGCACTGTATATCAACACTTAAGTAGAACTGAGGTATTAGGTGTTGGGTGATCTGGCCATTAAAACTGCGTATCATGTATCCCTTAGCTGCACCCTGAAAACTGTATACCAAAGAGACTGAAGGATTGTTAATTAATGACACATTGTGAAATAAAGTTATGTCGAATTTACATATGGTGAGTGGTAAATATCAACTTTTGTGTTAATTTTCAAGGTTCATATGATTTAGTGGCCTGAAACTTATCGAAAAAACCCCCAACTCTCGAAGTCGGCGAAAATTTTGTTTTATTTTTCAGTCTTTCATGGTAATTAGTTAAATCTGCTTTTGAAAAGAAAAATATTCCCTTCAAATATATTTTCTTACTCTTAGACTATTTGTCCCTTGTAACAGTTTATTTCTTTGCATTATTATGATTATTTTTGCTGCATAATTTTTTCTAATTTTCTGCCTTCACAATATTGTTATTTTCTATTCGTGGTCATATCAAAATATCGGTTCAAGTGCTACAGATTGGGTTTTGAAGCGGAGAAGTATTACTTGAAAGTTTAATCTTCTAACCTTACTGCTTTTAACATTATGACGTTGTCGACGAGGTCATTGAGCAAATCGAGTTATTATTGTCTTTATTATCAGTTTGTTCAGTTATTTTGGAAATCATATACTTCGGTTATTTTTGTTCACTCAATCGATTATTTTAATAAGTAAATTGAAAAGTCATCTGATTGGTGTGTAATCAAACACTGAAGCCATCCAATGACGAATTTTTCCAAACAAACGTTTAATATCTCGCTTGCAAACTCCCACCTATCTGCTCTCTTGACATGGTTACGTATTGTAGAGTGTATTTATCATGGTTTTTTATTTAGTATGTAAGGGGGTTGGCTTCTGTCCTCATCTGTGCCTGTATTCTGTCCACATACAAAGAAATCATAGCACGTGTGTGCGAAGTGAAATGTTAACGAAAATCTATTTCACTACAGGGTTACATTTGAAAATATAAGATCTCAATAACACTCATATCATCCAGTTATCGTCTCCTTGGAGCCTGCTACAAATATACATCAGCTCAAATTGTCATACCATATCATATATAATCGGCACAATGTTATATATATTAAACTGTTGAAATAGTAGTAAAATGAATGATGAAAATATTTGTAAACATGTTGGTGTGTAAGTTGGATATAATATTAGATAAATCAATATATCTTATTTCCAGTATTAGTTGCTCACTTTCGTTTTTCCACTTCCTTTCCTCATTTGTCTTTATTTTTTCGCTTTTCTTCTACTTTAGACATACTGGACTAATTTTAGATGCAAAGTCAACTTTACGTTTATTAAGAAAATTCTTACAACCATTCGTTAATCGTGACTTTGATCAGCTTATAAAAAAGTATATGGATGTAAGTGTATCATATATATATATATATATATATATATATATATATATATATATATATATATATATATATATATATATATATAGTTCAGTTTTTATTAGATTATAAATATTATTGGAAATATATGGATAACTGTCTCAGCGTTAAACTAGATAAGTATTGTTGTGAATTAGGATTCCAATGAAATGTGTTTTTTTAACTTGGTGTGTTTTCTAAAATCAGTGGCTTGATTGTAAAGCTCTCATTGATTTGGACAACATCAGCTTTTTCTTCACATAGAAGTAAAATGATCATGTTGCCAAGAGCAACAATAAAAGCTTCACTGAGCTCAGAGAACACAACGAAAAAGCATCCATCATTTTATAAAGGGCTTACTCAACAGTAATACCCGGGAAAAAATATATATTCTAAGTAAAGAACAAAGAATGAAATATATTTGGAGTTTGCGTCATAATTAGTCTAGAAACATATTTTTGGTTCTTTGTAATTTGATATTGAATAGAATACTATATGGGTTAATATTTAAACAAAAAACTACTATTCAATCGTTACAAATGTATCTGTCAACGGTTTACATTAAGTCATTCATCCATTTACACGTGTCGTTTTTTAATTGTTCGTTAGACTTGTTCTAACTGACTGACTGATTTGTAAGACTACTTTTCAGTTTACGGTACATACACCAGTCAGTCACAACACAGAACCTGAACGTATGTATATTGGTTCAAGTTGTCATACCTCATTAGCACAGAGAGATGAAGTTGCTAGACCGAATCCCACAATAGTAGAGGTAGTAACAATATCAATGGTAGTAGATTAGGCATCGAAGTTATGACTCGAGAAGTGAATATAACTTAGTGAAATAAAAAAATGTTATGAGAAATTGATAATTTCAGAATTTGAGGGAAGACAAAGAATGAATCGACCTTCGCTATTGCAAACGGTTTAGACCCATGTCATTCAAAGTCTCTAACCCTTGATTATGATAATCACGCAGACTTCAACCAGGTATTTACCACCTATTAAAATGGCTAGGTCCAACTGTCAGTGACTTCATGTATTAATGCCATGGTTTAGTTTTGCCGCTGCCTTCTGCTCCAGAAAACATTGCCCGTCGATGTAGGCGGTGGGTGAGGACACTTAACACTTGTCCCAACCAGCTCAGTTGATGAAGATTTACTACCCCACCGTTACCTAGCACTCCACTCTCAAGCCACACGACCAGTAAAATGCAGACAAATACGTGCTCGGACTAAAGCATGATCCGGGCATAAACACGTGCTCTAGAATGTGGGACAGCTATAAGTCTTGTTAATTTGAACGCTTTATTCGGTTCCTTAGCTATTCTGGTAACCCGCAAGCTAGAACTGCGCAGCGACCTGAACTCGAGAGAAAAGGTGCAAAATAAGCGAAAAATACTTTACTCCAAAGGTTCATTTTTGTACAGAAAAACACGTGTATTTATAGATGTTAACATTTGTTAAGTCAACATCATATTTTTGCCAATCCGCTAAAAGACATTATGCTACTGACCAATACTGGCACGCCACGTTGATATTCTAGAAAGCTCCATCATGCTCTGATTGGCTGGGACTCTTCGGCTCGTTTAGGGCCTCTGGAGGCTCCGTTGCAGTTCTCGGAAATCCGACTCAACAGACAGTCTTCAATCGATCTCCTTCAACGATGGCTAATGACAATGTGGTCGGCTTGAGTCAATTATGGTGGTCACCACGTCAGACGATATTTCTCCTTATGTTTAACGTCGGTGTGTGCCAGAAATAGTCGGTTATTTGAGCATAGTTCGCTGTGCCGCAAAACTGTAAGATCTGCATAAGTGCCTCTTGGTTTGATTTGGTCTACCTACTTAGGCAAGAAAATCGCCTGTCATTATTATCAGTGTTTAGCATTGAAGATTAAATAGCTTTCTGAAAATTCATGCTTAGCTTCATCCGAGCTGCAATAAGTGGAAATTCATGCAAAGACAACGAATGGGCAACGGCGTGTCTCTACCTTTTTGATCTTTTACTATCCTGTTTAGTCGAACAGCGCACAAACAACTGTCTATTAGAATCCGGCCTAACAGAACCTGTTCCGCTTTAGGACTTAACGCTATACCTAAATCAGCGAGACCACGGGGAGTAGCACTGAAGTCTCTATATACTTGAAGGGTAAATTGTGGTGGTTCTTTATATTGTTAAGATGAGGTTATAGGAATGACTGTACTTGGATACTGTGTGTGCGTTTCGGCGATGGAGCATACGCCGATAGCGTGAGATCCTAGAGTTCTAGCTAAAGCAGTCTTTTCCCGTCTGACACAATGTCCGAACATTAAAAGCTCAAGCACGTAGTTTAAAACGTAGTTTCGGTAGACCTAATGGAACATGTTATTTATATTTATTTTATTTGAAGACATAAATATTGGTACAAGAGGGCACCAAATATATATGCGCCACACCATACTTGTATGTGTGGGCTGTGATACTGCCCGGGTGCCCAGACAGAAGCAGGAATGGAACATGTCAATATAAGTCGCTTGGTTTATTTCGACAGACAAGCTCTACCAACTCGTCAAGATATTAGCTACGGTCTGATATATATATATATATATATATATATATATATATATATATATATATATATATATATATATATAATGGATGTGAGTAACAACGATGAGACCTATTAGCTTCCTCTGGTAACCTATTTTAAATCAAACAGTTGTATGTAGAAAGCAATTGCCTAGTGACAGAGGTAAATGCTACGTATGGTGTTTAAAGCCCCTTTCGTCTAGTTATTTCAGCAGCCAAACAGATAAGTTTAATGTTTTTGTTAGCTATAGTTTTGTCTGATGAAGTAAATTGTTATTTAGAAGAAGGATATTTTAAGTATTTCTTCCTCAAAACGGACCGATTTTAGATAAATATCCAATTTATAAAACTCAATTCCCAAGTAAGTCTATCGCAATCAACATAGAGTTATAAGGTACATCAATTTATACACGCAACTTTGTGACATAAATACCTAAGGTCCTATGACTATATCGTACTGTAGTGAACGAAAACTTCCTGTTTTCTCTTCATTTCAGTTTTCTGCTGATAGGCATTCCACTTCCGATTGTTACTACATGCTACTTATATCTATCAGCATAAGAAGCATACACCACAGTAACAGTAATTGCTTCTTTTCTGACAGTGAGCGGTAAAATCCTTAAAGCACAGAGCTGCTACACCAAGACCTGCCTGAAAAAACGTCGAATGTGAGGTTGGCTTGAAGTGCTTGTCCCTACGGCCCCATGGTCAATCTCACACGTCACCACGGTCACTACTAACCTAGTTAGCTTTTCGGATACCTCAAGAAAAAGTGCCCTTCCACGGTATTGACAACTGGTATGTGATAACTACCCACATACTTTTTTGACAAAAGAGTGACGTAGATAGAAAGTAACTGTAAATTAATAGGAATAAAACAAACTTGTTCGAAATAATACCGAACTTTGTATTTTGCTGGTGTTTATCTATTTGTAATAGAATTAAATGACTTTACTGATTTATAAATACTCATAGTTTCTTAGCTGTTCGCTTACCTCATGGTAATAATCGAAATTTTGTCTGTCAGGTTTATGAAATCTATAACGAACTTTCTTCATTACTGATGGAATTGTAGTTTGTTCCCGCCCTGCCTTCATTTATTCACAAATGAAGTGTTTACTAACTGACCAATAGACTGGAATTAATATTTTATACATAACTGCGTACATTGATTGCATTGTACTACTTGTTTAGTATGATTATTATCATCCAAATCACTGGATTTGTGACTTTAGGTTTCGCTTTAAATCAAATGTTTCAGTACTCATTACTCGTACGTAAAATAAAGTTCCACTTTCTTCATAGCTTTGGATTATGTGGCTTTATTCAGTGAATTAAGATTTTTTATACTAGGTGCTGCTAATTTAAGACAAAGCAACAATTTAATATTGTTCTTCCTGGTTTTCAACTGTTGTTCTTCAGTGTTCTTCATATTAAAAAAAATCATCAATGTAGATTAAAAAATTTCACAAAATAATCGTCTCCCTAGAAAATACGAACGTAGACACTAACATTGTTTTTTTGTTATAAATGTATACTAATTATATTTTCAGTGATGATTGTATGTGTTTAATGTGATTTCCTTTTAAAGAAAATTTAGCCAAAAAAGATTTCTTTTTTTCTTCTCTAAAGTCATATGATTGTAATTTATGTGATTTACAGAAATCTTTTTTTGTCTCTTCTTTGAAATTTGTATCTACTTTTTTCTCGTGTGTGTATATGAAAAAAAAACAGGATTTCATTCTACTGGCTGTGAATAATATTCGTGATGTATTAGGTGAACAATCTGTGTCTGAAAGTGATTTGACTAAATTTCGTCAAAGTTTAATCCATCGGGTAAGTTAGTTGTCTATTGAATATTGGTTTGAATTGATTTTTTAAGGTAGAAATGTTTTCACATTTATATATTCATTGTTTAATATTTCACCTTTGTATTACTATAGAAATAATAAATAATAATCATTAATACTCCAGTGGTAATATTCATGGTTGTGATATGTTTTATGCTGTGTTGATTCGTTTCTTCATTGATGATCACAGTGCATAAAGCTTAATTCTCACAATCTATCCTCTACTGATGCTTAGCCTTACGAGCGTCACATATAGTGTAAAAATATTGAGTTATTTTGTTTACTGTGACCGCATTGCCGATTAGATCAATAAAGTGTGATCATTATCACTATTAAAAGTTTGTTAAATTTTTACATTTTGCATCACGAACTGATTTTGGTTAGACAAATATTAAGAACTGGGAGGCATAAGATATCCGTCTCAGTGTAACACTCGACGTCTTAGCTATGTACATCCACAACCCCACTTGGAATCGGATATATAACTTACAGATCTTTAGATTACTGAGTCGCCGTACGACGGTTTACATTTCTCATTTCAATTACTTCTTGATATGATGCAACTATCTTCTAATGCCATTAGTGGTTACCTTGTTCACATGCAACAAGATTGACGAAACATGTATTCAGTGCTTCCTGGTGTTTATTGGTTCGTGATGTATACTAGAAAACATTGTGATTAATTATCAATAACTAGAAAGTGTGGCTGATTTTACTGGTCATCAAGAGTGTTCTGTAAGTGTAATGTTCTTTATATGTATTACTTCATGATTAGATCTTTATCAATAGGCTTCAGTTTCAGTCGTGATTATATTTTCCGAAGTCTACTTATTAATTAGTGCTTTAGTTCTCGGAGAATTTAATAATTTCCAATTCACTTCAGTCTTCTTTTTGTTCTACTTTGTTCAATACACCATGAAATCTTCCCACTATCAGTTGAGAAGTGTTAACATGCATGAAAATGGATTTTAACTGAAAGCAATAACCTATTCACTTGTTGTTTATCATCTTTTTGATGATAGTGCACTATATTCCTAACAAAATAAAATTTTCCCCAAAAGATTATAAAGTAATATGAATTTTGCATTATACCTGTCCCATAGTCATATATCACTTTCGAAACTATCGGTTTATGCAAGTTAGAATAGTTCTCAGTATTCATTTAAAAACGTTTTCATGTAAAATACAAGGAAAAATGGTTCATTTGAATCGAGTGTATTCTTTTTCATTCCACTTGCATCTGGTATATGCCTGTTAAATAATTAAAAATATTTAGGTTAACACTTCTTAAAGTCGTCACTCATTGACTTAAGCAATTAAATTCGTAATTAGTAGGAAGATCTTAAGCTCATGCTTCTCTCAATTTCATGAAGTTTTAACCATGCGGAGATAGTAATAACAACAGATACCTCCAATCCCCATCTAATCTCAACATAGTGCACACAGTGTCGAGTCACCTAGACTGGTGGTCACAGTGCAACATGGTCGATAGCATTCGATCTGCACTAATAAGGACTTGACACACATGACATTGATCACCACCCAGTGATCAATCAATTGCGATTACAACAGCTATCATTCGTATCTCATGTATGCAAACTTATTCTCATCTGTTGTGTTATATTTTTAAACTTATTTTAAAGTCCTCTATAAATTCTGCATGATCCAGTTTCCCAACTTATAAACATTCATTTCTCTAACTGTAATTATGTCATATTATCATTTCAATTAAAGGTCTACTTTTCAAAGAAGATTATTCCGTATTTTTTTATGTACAATTTTTTGTGAAAAGACTGGAAAAAAATCATTTCATCTAAACGCAGACAACCGGATAACCTTGATCTTATATAATTGTACGATTGCTAAAAGGCGGAAAATAAAATCTTTAAATTCGAATTTATAACGTTCTTAATGTCTGATAGCTGGATTTTTAGAATATTCAAGCCTACATTTCTCAATGATTATTGATTGTACATTTAATCCCCATCGGCACATCGACATATCTATCTGATTTGGAAAAAAATTCTTCCAAATTTAAAGCATAAATAAATTTTCATTTGTATTGGTTGTTTGAATCTTCTCATTGATGTTTGGGACTGTAACTGATCAGTCTGTTTTTTTTGCATATGTACATTCTGTGCTGATTGCCTCTATATTCCCTTAAGTCACAAGCATTATAAGCAGAGATGAATGGTGGCTAGCAATGGAGTTTAGGATGAGCGTTTCTTTCTAACTTAACAACATGATGACGTTTGAAGTGAACGGCACTGAGTTTAAGTCCCTGCGTGAAAATCAACTCTCATTCAGGTACATCTGGCTAAAGAGTCCTAAGTAGGACGAGATACGCGTCCTGGATTCCACTGCTAACCACCATCCATCTCTGCTCATAATTCATCTTTCATCAACCTCTTTCTAAGAACAATAAAAGAGAATTTAACTAAATAAAAATCTTTCAATATTTGATATCTTCCATTGCCAAGGTAGAAAATCATTGAAATTCTGAAAGGACTTGGTACGTGATTTGAGACTCTCTTCATCAAAATGGATTCTAGATTCACAGGTATTGTTACGACTATCACTATTGAGTTGAAATACAATATTATATTTTCAGCTTCTGTCAATCAACTAACCATTTATTGCGACTATTAGCCAATGCTATCAATGGGTATCTGCTTCGCTCTACTGACACAATATACTCCACGGGTCATGGCTTCGCATCATAACTAGGTTAATGAATCTGGATAGCCATGAAGCTGTCCAATGGTTATGAAGTTATTAGTTGAGAAAGGTTAAATTAAATCCAAATGATTCAAAAATAGAATGAAACGCTGGTCCTGCATTCTACGTTGTTGCTGGCTGACTGACCACTAGTACTCGTAGTCTGAATACATTAAAATCCCTAACTAAAAAAGTATATCAAAGCAGTCTGCTCAGAATGAATGTATTGCAACAGAAACTGAACAATACCAATTTTGAATATCAACTGTAGAAATTTAAAAACTTGCTAATGTGGGTCGTTTTACATGTTTTCAGCGAAAAGATAAAAGTACTGTGTTGAAGATAGATTACTGTAAACTTTTGCTTATATTTCCTATGCTTGTTATTTAACTAACTGTTGAAGTTGTTGCTGGCCTGCATCAACACGTGAACTAAGAATAGGAAGTGAATTAGTCGAACGCGTCGACAACTTCACTTATCTTGGAAGTCTGATCAGCCCAAATCGGTTTGTGTCTGACGAAATCTCAACACGGATTCGTAAAACTCGCTTGGCTTTTGCCAACTTACGTCACCTATGGCGAAGGCGAGATATCTGTCTATCAATTAGGGGACGAGTATACTGCTCAGCAGTCCGTTCTGTTTTAATTTACGGCTGCGAAACATGGCCATTAAGTGTGGAAGACACTCGTAAGCTACTAGTATTCGACCACAGATGCTTTAGGAATATTGCTCGCATCTGTTGGGATCGCCGGGTAAGTAATAGTGAGGTTAGACGCAGGGTATTAAGGAATGATGGTAAATCAGTTGATGAGGTTGTGAATCTTCATCGACTGAGATGGTCTGGACACGTGTTACGTATGCCCAAACACCGATTACCACGATGAGCAATGCTAACTGGTGTTCGGGATGGTTGGAAGAAAGTTAAGGGCGGCCAAACCAAAATGTGGCAGCAGTGCTTGAAGTCACTAACTTGTAGTCTGAGCCATGTTGGTAGATGCAGACTACTTGGTGAGGGTCCGCGTGACTGTCGTAACCAATGGTTGGAGACTCTGGGTGACATGGCTCAGAATCGACCACAATGGCGTAGGTGTATACACTCTGTCTTTCCATAAACCATGAGATTAACACTAGCTCATATCCTTGCTACGATCTAATTCTTTCTCCGTGTATCATACTTGCTATAACTGTGACGGCATCAGATTAGATAGTAGCGAATTATTGATCGGACCAAAGACGCGCAAACACGTAGAACGACCTAGGGTTCTGATTGGCCCCGCTTCCCTGTCTAGCCCAGCCAGTTAAGTCCAGAACGCAAGTCTCAGCCTCGGATATATGAATCATTATATTTCAAGCACACCCTGTTTATATACTAATCAAGCAGACCACATCGTGCCATAAAATAGAAAATAACATTGTACAATATTGACCAGAGGGAAATGACACGTGAAATAAGCACTGACCAATAAGAAAATAATACCATCTCCAAGTCCAAGAATAGCATTAGACTTAATAGAATAATTTTTGGGATATTTTCCTGAATATCCCAACACCTCCCCTTTTTTTGGAGATCCGGAGTTGATAACCGGATTTTAAATTTTTTTCGCGTCTATCCTCCCCCGCGAAATAATGTTGGGTCTTCATAAACCCAAATTACAATTAATTTGATTGCATTTAAGACATATTGGACGGGGAATTCAGTAAAATCGACCAAATAATGAGGATAAACACCATTCAATTCGAAATCACCAGAGTTTAAATCGTCTGAGATATTGTTATCAAATTTATGGGGAGCATCACTAGTAGATAATGGATCATTATGATAATCCGCGTCCAACAAAACCGTACCAGGCTCTTGATTATTATTCGGTGCTTGAGACACATTTCCTGGCAAAACAATGGGACCTTTTCGTGAGCTGGATATGCTACTGTCTGTACATGCTGTTTCGGGGATGATGGAGTTTGACTCCATTACCGGGCATGTTTCTAGAATGGAAAGTACTGGACCACTGGGCGCATCATGGATGACTGTTTCGTTTGAAGTACAGTTTATCGAGGATTCATGGAGGCTGCTGTCACTTTCCAGCTCACTGTGTAATTGAGATATCAATCCATCCACTTCCGTCGCATCTTCATAGCATGACTGATTTAGCAGCTGCGTGCGGAATTTGACTAATAACTCCAAATGTCGTTCAAAGAGCAGCTTTAATCGATCGGAAGGGAGTGTCATTCTGGATACTGATTGGTTGAATAATTAGACTGGATTTCGTC